ATCACCTAATTTTTAAAGACGTGTAACATGCTGATTATGACGTGTCATTTGATTCCTGACATTTTATTGTGCCTTTTGTCATTAATTATTTATGATTTACTGAATTTTGTTATCTAATTTTTAAAATTATACATTTTGTCATTTAACTTATAAAAATTTACATATTAAGTTACTTTGTTGATTTCCTATCTGATATTATTAATTGATTTCTAAAGTAACACATTAATTACTAATGTATCATTTAACTATTAATATGATATAATGTATTGTGCTAATAGTTAACGTGAAATGTCACTGATCAACATATCATATTAGCAATTAACTATCGACTCCAAAAAATTAATTAATAAAGTGATAAAATGTGTAAAATTTTCTAAGTTGGATGATAATAAAATATACAATTTTAAAAATTGAGTGAAACAATTCACAAAATTGTGAAATATGAGTGACAAAAAGTACAATTAACCCTAATTTTCTAATTAGTCCCTGTCAAATGAGAAAGTTTCAATTTTATTCCTTACAAAAAAAGATTTTTTGTTTTTCATGCTTCTAAAATTTTTTAACTTCATTTTTTATCTTGTAAATAAGTTTTGATTTTAATCTTACATAACATTTTTTTTTATAATTTTTATCCCTCTAAAATTTTAAATCACTTATTTTATCCCTAATGATTCTAAGGTATATAAAGAAGATTTGTTTCAAGGATTTAATTTTTTTTAGAGATATGAACTACTAACATTATATTATTAATAATTACATATAACATTTAAAATAGTCATTTAATCTTTAATAAATAATCAAGTGATTAAAAATAACCACGACTAAAAAAATAACAGTAATTCCAAATTTTAAAGTAAAAAACAAAGAAAAAAAATATGAGAACCAAAATCATAATTTATTCATTTCATAGGAACTTAAAACATATTTAAATATATCTTTATTATTTACAAAGATAATGTGTGAAATATATCTTTCAAGGAACGAAGGGCATTGAGAATGTTTTATTGTGACGGTAAATAGAAAAAATAAGTCTCACTGTCCAAGTAAGTTATATATTCCAACTATAGAATAATTAAAAGTAGATTTCATACTTAATAATATTAAAAATATTTTGTATGTGTTGTTTTAAAAATTATTAAAAAAATCAAAAGTAAAAATATGTTGATATTTATTATTGATTTTTTATATAAAAAAAATCTCTTTTCTCATCCCATTACTTTAGGATTAACAAAAGTGTATTAAAAAAATGACCACCTTTATAGCTGCTAATATAGAGTAGTCTAGAAAATGAATAATATGGAACGAATTCAACCACTCCACAAAAAGTAATTAAGATCATCCTATTTGTATATTAAAGTACGCAAACCATTTCATCCCCAGATTTTGTTCATCTACGACTTGAGTTTCTCCAGCTTTTCAGTTCACGTGTTGATCGAAAACAATATTCTTCATGCTAAAAATGAGTCACACTAGTAATGATCAAAACCAGACTCAAGGTAGCATTTCCATTTGACGCGTACGTTTTATAACTTTTACAACCTGTGGTCTATCTATCGATTTTGAACTTGTGCTCTTATTGTTTCTAATGTTGTAATATATATATATATACAAACTATGTAGCATACGAGTCAAAGGACATTGCACCGGGACCTTATCAAGTTCCACCCCCTCCACCTGCTATCACACACCACCAGAACCTTCCCACTAACCAAGAAACTAAATTCAAGGGTCATGGCTTCTGGAGAGGATGGTATTTATATATTATATTCTTAATTTCTTTTACAACCTATATGCATATAGTTACATGCATGTTTGTGAATTGAACAGCGATATTTGACTAAATTATATACATTCAGGGTCAATTTCTATACAAGCTATCATTGTATTTAAATTTAATCGATTTCATTTGAATGAAAACTATAGTTATATTTCAATTTCATATATATATATATATATATATATATATATATATATATATATATATTCACGCTTTTAGTAATTGTACAATGTATGACTAATATTATTTATTTATTTATTTCAATTTAATTCTTTGCAGTTGTGCTGGAATGTGTTGCTACTGTTGTTTGGACATTTGCTTCTGAGATTTCTGGAATACTATGCATATATGAAGTGTACTGATCCTGATCCTCTTACATGTTATGTTAGATATGGGTGAGAGAAAGGTATAATATATGTAATTAATTACCTAAGAACATATATAATGGTGCATCTCTTATATATATAATAGTAAGTTTGTGCGTGTATTAATTAATATTATAATTTTCGGTATCTATATAGTAAAGGAGTACAACTAGTTTTTACTTGAGGTGTTTCCCATAAATCTTTTTCTCAAATCCTAAAAAAGATTAATACTATATATGTTCACATTTGTAATTTATTGTGAACCTTTACTCATTGAACATGCTCTGCTAAAAGATATGACTTCATGAGCAGCGAAAGTGTAGAACGCGGGAATCTCTTTGGTACATGAAAACAACAGCCCAACACTGGTCGGCACATGTATCAACCTAGCTATTTTAATTTAGGTCCACTTTTTTTTTTTTTTTCTATCAATATATCACTTGTTTTTTAAATTTCATTTCAACAATGTCCTTACCAACGAGTGTGTTAAATTTCAGAAGTATTCCCATTTTTTTATAATTCTGAACTTTAATTTTATCAACATTAATTATTAATGTTATGTTTGTTGTTAGGTGTACCATTAGCGAAAATAAAACAAAAATTCTGGATAAATAAAAAGAGTCAAATATATATGAACAAAAAAAAAATAGTGCATGAATAAAATACGAGGGTTATTAGGTCTTCCTTCTATGATACTTTTGTGATATCTCTGCCTCTCCCGTGATTTTTAAGCCTTAAAACCTTCTGTGATCATCTTCCTATTAAACATGAATTGAAGTAGTTCGGTATCCTGTTAGATCTTACCTACAAATAAGAAGATTTCATATTTGTTGAAATCACTTCCTTTAATTGATGAAGCACCATATAAATTAACGAATAAGTGATAATTAAATTATTGTATATCATGTAACTCTTGAATAATACCACTAAAGGCTGCATTTGGGAGATTGAGAGACATATCTTCATCCCTTATAAATATTTGTTAAGTGGCAAAGTATTCTAAATTTTTTTTGAGAGGAAAAAAAAGAACTTATAGTGTGTATGGATGAAAAATTTAAATGGAGTAATTTATTTGTTTGAAGAATTTTAAATTTTTTGAAGTAAAATACCTTATTTGGATGGAAAATTTATAAAGAATTTAAAATTCAAGCATTTGCAAAATTTCTTGAAATAGTAAAATTTCAAATTTTTTCAAAAAAGTAAGAATTTAAAATTTCTCATATTTTTTTTCTTATTTCACTTATATATTTTATCTTATTTCTTATTTCTTCATGTTTTTAATTATTGAATATTAAAAAATATTTTAAAATTATTAAATATTATCTAATATTAATTTATAAAATTATAAAAAAAACTAAAAATTAGTTAATATTTATTTTTATAAAATTTAATTTAAAAATCTCAACATATAAATATATTTTTAAAAAACAATTTTATCATGGTAGAATCAAATTATTATATCCAACCAAATAATTTAAAATTTAATAAATTTGAATTAACTTATCCAAATAAAATATTTTAAAAATGATAAAAATTGAAATAAAAGTAATTCAAATATCAATAATTTAAATTTTTTTAAATTTGTAAAATTCCTCGCCCAAACATATCATTAGAGTGGGAGACTCTTTTTATTTCTTTTTGAGAGACTAAAAATTGATAAATAACTATCTAAAAAGAATACTTCTTTCAATGATTTTTTTAAGAAAAAAAAAGTTAAATATAATCTTATTTTCATAGTAGAGATCACATTGAAAAATAGACTTAAATGTCTTTTTTTTTTTTTCCTTATTCACATTGATAAAGTTTTGTATATAAAAATCTAGTGTCATATTTCTTATCTCTACACCTATTTTTTCACTTCTTCATAGTACCTATTTTTGGATCATTAATGGAGGAATTTGATTTAATAATTTTTAATATTGGTATCAAAGATCGCCTAGTTAACGGAAACTCTTAGTCTATGCCACTCATGAAAGGAGTTGTCACTCATGATAGCTAACCACAAATAAGTATTTCTATTAAAAGATGACATTTGAAGATTATTTATATTGCAAAATCTTAAGAGTGAATCACCAATTTTATAACAAGTAAAAGGAAAATATTGACAAAGACTAGGAGCTTTTGAACTGCAAAAATGTTATAATTTGAAAATATGGTGATCAATTTTCTTTTAAGTATATATCTACTTATACCGATACATACAATTTATGGATAAAACTTAAATCTACAATTCAAAAGAAGACTCCCAAAGACAAAAGCTTATTTTGTAAAAACAAATTGCAAAGTTGGAGTACATAGATGGTCAAGATGTGATCAAGCACTTAAACACCATCAAAGGAATTGTGAACCAATTGATAAAGGAAGAAATGAATATTGGTGATGGATTACAAACTTTTTTTTTCTTTCGATTATTTGATTGAATTAACACATTAAACTACATGTATATTTTACGAGAATCAATCTTAAAAAGAGTTCGATAGAAATATCATAAATAACAAAATTAATTTTTTGATTAAGTAAGCCAAGGTGTGAAAAGTAAATTAGTCTAACCCAATTTTTTTATATGCCACAAAATTGTTAACTTGAATTGGTTTGTCTAAACCATCAAACTTAACTATTAGGATCTTTACACTATAATTTCGTGAAATTGTATAAACACTTTACTTTTACTATCCTATAGTAACCTTCCTTAATTATTTAAAAAAAAACACTTCTTATATATTAAATTAATCTCTTAATTATTTGAAAAACATTACTATATAATTCAAGATTACCAAGTATTTTGAAGACAAGTATTTTGATACAAAGCGATGGTAAGGGAAGAGAGAAGAGAGAAGAGAGAATAGGTGACAACTCACAGAGGGAGAGGCTTTGCCAAATGAGTTGGGTGCTCTTCTCCGGCTACGATTACCAAAATGTTAGGCTCTTCATTAACTTGAGGGTTACGCAAAGACTCAGTTTGTTTTCGAGATCCTCCACGCCGAGAACAAGCCACCACAAGCAACGCTAACCCAATCACTCCAAAAATGGGTACAAGCCCACCATACAGGAATGACGCTGACGAGTTCCAGCTCCACTCCAGCCTCCCCGTCCCATTGTAACCCGATGCTTCATTCATCTATGATCTATCTTCTCACCCAACTTACCTCTTCCTCTATTACTAATGCCTTATTTTCCATTTTTTATACCTGCTTCTCCACACCTATTATTTAATTCCTACCAAGGGTCAATTAGAAGATTCTTTTACATTCTTGAAAGACTACGTGTCTATTGTTCTTTTAAATCATATAGAATCTTCATGTCATTTATTTATGATTTTGTTGTGACCAAATTCTGGCTCGACTTTAGGAGTAAATAAAGGTTAAGAAAATAAATCCGTGTATATACTATATAGGTTCTTTTACTTTTATCTGTAAGCTGGACGACGATGTGATGTTTGCCTTGCCACAAATCCAAGAGACGCGGATTTGAACATTTCATTCGATACAGATAAACTTTGATTTCAACAATCCGGTTTTTCCGTACGGATAATTAAATTTATCCATTCATCAGTTTTCAGAATTTGGCCTTAATCCTTTTCTTAATACTGTCCCTCTAAAGTTATTGTAGTGTATTTTGTGCTGAGAGGAACCCACGTACTAAAGAGGCGATGAAAAAATGAAACTCAAGTTTGAAAATTGAATGAATCAACCTCGTCAACCAGCAAGCTAACTTGCTCCTCCACCAAAAGCGAACTCACTATCTTCGTTGTGCCCGTCAACCACCGAGTCACCAATAAAATCAAAGGGATAAGCATTGCAACAAATGGGGTTAGAGATGAAAATGAATACACGTTTTGTTTGATGAACATGGAGAATGAGGAATTCTTAAAGTTCCACCTATTTTGGTGGAATTTAAAATTCCTAATTTAATGAAGGATGGAAATTCTAGAGAATTCTGATATTAAATATCCAAAAATCATTTTATTAAATAGCAATTAAAATATCATCAAATAATACATTCCTTTAAATGTTTCATCCATACACAGGGTAAATGTACAGAACATTTAAGGTAGCCATATTGATATCCCCTAGGTAGGCGAAATATGAAGAAAGAACGTCAATAAATAAATGATATTCCACTTATGCTCATAAATTCTGAAGACACAGGGAGATTGGCCATTTCATAAATTACAAGAAACAAAATTATGTAAAAAGGACAGAACAAGATTTTAAAGCCAACGCCCGACTACCTAGACTACCACCAAAAACGAAGATACATATAAAGAGGTTAACTCCGTCAGGCGAGGAATTGCTATTGCTTTGCTATCCATTAACATATAACCGAACAGTAAATGCACACGAAATTTTTAAACGGCTGCAATATGTAACCTCATGCCCAGTTTTCCCTTCCATGGTAACTCAATGAGAGAACTTTGCAATCAACTTATCAACATGGATAATGATATCATCTATCCGGGGCCGCATCGCAGCCTGTGGCTGAAGCATCCATGACACGAACTGATGAAGAGCTTCGGGATATGGAGGCTTAGGTCCAGCTGGCCATTTGATCTGAGCGTTTACAATAGCCAATTGCAGGCTTCCACCAGACTCTCCAAGTGCATATTCAAATGGAGATACCCCATACCTGAAAATTTTAGTCAGGAGACATAATAAAAATTAAACATGCACTACAGCTGCCAAGATATAATTGTTACACACACATACACCTGGGGGAAAAAAATTACAGATAAGAGTCATTGTGATAGTAATGATGGAAGTAATTTGTTGACCAACCTATACTTGAAAGAGTAATATAAATTAGCCATTAGTACAACTATTTGCGTACTGAAAAAACACACTTCTACCATTGGATTTCTGTAGAGTACCAAATTAATGAATAATGCCAAGGGAATGACCCTTAGACAACAAAGCCAAACTAGTGTGCATAGACATAGGATTTCATTTCATGTACACTTGCAAAAATAGTAGTTGATGTGAGCATCGTCCTAAATCAATTATCTATGCAGAGAGATCCAATGGCTTGCATGTGCTTTTCTTATGTAGTTATTTGGTTGAGTAGCATTACTCAAAAAAGTGACATTATTTGAATTTTTTTAACTTTCTTTTACACAAATATACCACAATTTTGAACCTGTGGCTCTGGCTCATAAGTAGGATTTGTCACTAAACCAAATGGAAGTTGGTCACTTGAATCCTTTTTGTGCATATTGCTCTTAATAACACATTTTATGACAAAAATCGATCAGAGCATAATAAATTAACTTATTCTCTCACTTCCCCTTCTTTTCTCTTCTTTTTTAGGTTACACTCAAGGAACAAAGAAATGTGAATTCACCATATGTTGTTTCTTCACTACTAAAAACAGACCAGAGTCTGTCATTGTTTAGTTGAAACTTGAGACTGGGTCTCACACGCACACAAGTCAACAGCATAAAGCAAAACCATTAAATATGAGATTGGTTGGATTGGTCATAGAGAAACTTTGAAAAGCACTTAAAATACACAATCTTCTTCACACTCTTAAAAATAAAAAATCTAATTCATATGTTAATTTCTAGGATCTATATGTGCACAAGAAGGGTTCCAAATCAAATGTATTGTGCATATGAAACTAATTTTTGAGGAAACAATTAAAATTTAAAGAAAAACCAATGAAAAATTACCAAAATATGATAATTATGTTATATGAAAGCAAAATTAATAAAAGTTATAAAACATAAACATTATCATAATCACATAAAAGAAGGATTAATACTCACATTATTCCATATAATGTGCATCCAAGTGACCAGATGTCAGTCCTCTCATCTATATCAGCATGGCTTGGGCAATCCCACAGCTCAGGAGCTCGGAAAGGAGCAGAACAATGTTCAGCTGCCCATTCCTACATAGGAAGAGTTAGTTGCAAATATCAGGTTAGAAAATCCAAGTTAGGTGACTAAAATGAAACTTTGATCCTTCCAATTTGTAAAACATGTTCAAAACATAAAAACTATTAAAAGAATTAATATTGCCTAAATAGAAACATAAGCTAAGTGATTGACTATTTTTAAATGAAACATAGAATTGGTTAATGTGTAATACTACTTCCGATCTTTTTTATAAGAAACAAGTGATAGTGTATTTTACACTATCACAGTATCACTTGTTTCTTATAAAAAGGACAAGAGGTAACAACAAATTAAAAAGATACATTACTAGCCTGGTGATGCATATGTACCTATCATATTAAGCAATACAATTTCACAAACTACAAATGGAACAAAAGCCTCCAAAACATACTAAAATATTATATACTTTTAAGAACCACATTCTGTGCCGTGTTAAAGAAATTACCAGATTTGCAAGAAGTAGAAGTGCTTAGACAATAAAACAGTAAATAAGATTTATTCATAAACAGCACTTTATAAAAAACAGGAAGGAAAGAAGCACCTGCAACTGGAGTGCCTCTGATCTGGAACCAATTTGCTTCCTGGCAGGACGAGCACTGCCAAAATCCATCAGTATGGCAAGGGGTGGTTGTCCTCTTCTACGTGTTATGAGAACATTACCAGGTTTGACATCATTGTGTGCATATGGAGGATCAAAACTGTGCATGTGCTTGAGTCCTGCACAAAGCTGTTGATTTACAGGGATAGAAGAGTTTCAGTAAAAAGAAGCAGACCACAGAAATCCATTTTTTCTTCTTCTACAATATGATTCTTAAGACAAAAAATAACCCATGTCACAAGATTTGTTAGGTTTATATTAAAATAATTGTGAGTGAAACTAATTTGGTTTCACTCACACACAATTAACCAATATAGGCTATAATATATATGTCAATTGTCAAACAATATTTCTAGTGCGAAAAATCTTTAGCTGCAACAGTAATAGAAAAATGCATAATAGAAATATGGTTCTTACCTGTCGAAATATTTGGAGCACGTCTGAGGTGGAATAGAATTCCTTCTTGGTTTTCATCATTTTGGCATTGTCTAGCAATGTTCCATCCAAATGAACTGGAAATAACAAGTATGCTTCATGGTTCCAAGATGTTTCTTGGGTAGGCTGATAAAAAAAAGTACATTAATGTAAATATAAAGAACAAGAATTGAAACAGTGGAATGAACAGAACTAAGCCAAAACCTTCAAGGGGGAAATGAGAAAAGCTACACATTTCCACATTAAGATTAGTTTTATTCCCACTGTAACTGATTAATCACTTTAACAGATTAGAACCCTTAAGGAACTACACTTGCAACGCCACATCACACAACATGCACAATTCCCAACCAAGTTAGGAAAACCTAGATTTTGTGCAGTGATATTAGACACACCACAGGTAAAACAGTATCATTGGTAGCTCTGATGCATAGATACTTTAAAATTGTAAACATATTTGTATTATACCCATTCAAATAGATTGATAGTGATATTATATTTTCAGATGATATAATATCATACCAAAAGCACAAAAATTACTCTTACCGAATATATCAAATTACACATTGTACAATAAATTAATAGCCCGGGACCAACTTGGTCATGACATGCAAAATTACACCCAGTACCTACCATATGATAAGTTATAATGGTGCCTCATTATAACCTCTTCACAATAAACATATCTCAATAAATTGTCATTGAGCCTTGCCAAGAAAAATTACATGAGATCATTGTACCCATCCAAGATAGGCGAGTAGAAGTAAGAAAGAAAACCATTTTGGCCAGAATATATGACTGTTCAGTCAAGTCAAGACTCAAGATGCAATTGAGAGAGCATGGAAGTTGAGGGCAGAGGTTCACCAGTTGGAGTATTGGGCAATGGTGAGGAAGTGGTTCAAGGGCATGATAGTGGAATAATCAGTAGAAGAAGGATGGAGGTTATGGGAAGGATTGGTGGTGGGTCATGTGCAAGGCAGATAGAAAAACTGTTTTTGAATATTTCAAGTCAAACAAGTTGTTCCTTGTTTTATTTTCAGAAAACACATCTAAAATAAGTTCTAAGAACAATATATATAAAAAATAAAAATAAAAAAGGATTAAAAACTAAAACCAAAAAATCATTTTAAGCAAGCCCCTGTACTGTCAGCTTGAAGGTAAATGTTCATTAGAATCGATGATGGGGACAAGGTATCCTATACATGGGTTTTCATTTTTCATGTCAGAAAAAGTTTACAGCGAAGACAAGAAAATTTGATTAGAATGCCGAATGCCTTCACTTTAAATCATTTAAGTTACAGCTCAAGTGCTCCTATAAGTTGCTTTCTGTTGCCATCATGCACAACATTTGGAAATACAAACTGCTAAATTCAAAACCCAACTGGCATGTTTATAAACTTCCAAGTGTATCCAAGCATGATATTTTTCAGACAAGCCCCAGGGATACAATACAGAAAATTAAATAGAAATGACATGTGTCGAATCTGGATGAACTGGTGATACTAATACTTTTATTCTAATGAGTGTTGGCTGCAATAACTACTTACCTTAACAGAAATTATGGCATGATCAAGAAGTGGGAGCAGATTGGGGTGATTGAACAGGGATGAAACACGGATCTCCTCCCTCACCAACTCCAGCTGTTCATTGTTCTGAATGAGGACCTTTTTCATAGCATAAGTTCCGTCATCTGCAGAAGAGACATAGTACATTTAAAGTTTCCATTTCAATCCACGGAATCATACAGTGACACTGATTTAAATCTTATTCTAAAACGTCCACCGAACATTTTTCCGTTTCTACAATAACACGGCACTTTCTTCATCACTAATAATCAAAATTAAACTGCGATTCAAAAACAAGACAGAACCTCCTATTTTCAATCGTTTAAAGGAGCAAGGAAAACTAAACGCCTTATACCAAATCGAGAAATAGGACGTTCCAAATTACTCACACAGTAACTGCAACAACGGAATTGCATAAAAATAAGGCACAGGCTCAAACAGCGGGATTCGATAAGCATTCAATGTTTAACTAATCACTTGCTCCATATAAACCAATATTCACAAACAACAAGCCCGAATCAGAAACCAAGTGTAACAGATCGGAGAAAGAAATCCCCGCGAAAACGCGATTCTAACATTTGTTAAACGAAATGACATCGCAGATGAAGAAAAGCGGACGCAGGAATAGAAAAAAAGAGACGGATCAAACAGATCAGGCTAGGAGACGATTAGTTAGAGGTAATCGAAGGGCGAAAGCGAGAGAGAGAGAGAGAGAGAAGCGAACCAGAGAGATGAGAGGAGTGTTTGAGCTTGGTGGCGAGGCCACCGGCGGCAGATTCGTTGAGCGCCTCCTTGACGAGGTAGACGAAGGCGAAGCCACCTTCTCCGAGCTGGCGGAGGATGCGGAAGCGGTTCTCGTTGATCCAAACGTCGCCTCCGCCGTTAACGGAGTCGTAGAGTGCGTTTAAACCGGAGAATGAGCACCCCATTCGAAGAGAGTGAGATTGGTATGTTGTGAGTGTCAACCCTCTCACTTCCCCTCCTTTAATTTATTCCCTTTTCCCATTTTCTTACCATCTTGGATCACTCCATTCTCAACCGGACGTCTGTTTCGTTTATTTGGGGCACGCATCCCGTACTTTTTTCATCCATGCTTTTACGCTCAATTTTTAAATTTTAAATATTAATAATATGCTATGCCTTTTTTAATTTATTATTTATTACTACATACCGTCACACCTCAAAATATAATTAAAATGTTTTTTTTTCCATTATAAGAAGATCTAAATCTAAATATAAATAAAGATATACTTTTTTAGTATACAAAATTAAAATACATGTACACAAAATAAAATAAAATATTTTTAACTATAATAACTAAAAATTCAAATTCATAAAATTATAGAAAATAAAATTGCATTTTATCATATTTAACAATATTATTTCTAAAGTACTTTTACTTAATTGAGATTTTATTTTTTATGTAAAGTTCTAACGAGTAGTAATATAAGAAGGAAAAGAAAAACAATTTTAGTCTATATTAATAAAATTGGTAAAAAAATAAAAGAGATATTTTGTACTTTTTTATTTTTAAAAAAGGAAAAGAAACATTAATATATATATATATATATATATATATATATATATTAATGTGTTGTTATTTGAGGTATTTTTTTTTTT